AGAAGACATTGAACAGATCATAAAAAGACTTCCTGATAAGAAAAGTCCTGGACCAGATGGCTTCACCACTGGATTCTACCAAACATTCCAAGAAGATCTATCACCAATTCTACTTAAAGTATTTTTTAAAAATAGCAAAAGAAGTAACACACCCTGAGTCATTCTATGAAGCAAGCAAAACCCTAATTCCAAGGCCAGGAAAATAAATTACCAAGAAAGAAAACTACAGAAAAATATCTCTCATGAATATAGATGCAAAAATCCTTCCTTAAGAAAATTCTAGCCAATAGAATCAAAATGCACATAATAATTAATCATGACCAAGTGCAAACAATAGCAAATACTCAAGGACAATTCAACATTATTTTTGAAAAATAATCAATGTAACATACCATATTAACAAAGCAAGTAACAAGAACCATATGATCTTAGCAATTGATGCAGAAAAGGCATTTGACAAAATCCAACACCCCTTCCTGATATTGACACTTAGCAAAATTGGAATAGAAAGGAATTTCCTCACCATAGTGAAAATAATATATGCAAAATCAGGAGCCAATATCATCCTCAATGGAGAAAGACTAAAAGCACTTTCTTTGCTAACAGGGACCAGGCAAGGATGCCTACTATCACTATTTCTATTCAACATTGTATTGGAAGTATTTGCCAGGGCAATATGATAAGAGAAGGAAATAAAAGGCAACCAGAATGGGTAAGACACAGTTAAATTGTTGCTATATGCAGATGATATAATAGTGTACACAGAAAACTCTAAGGACTCAAGAAAATTGTTAGAGCTAGTCAACCAATTTAGTAGAATGCCAGGATATCAGAGCAACATCCAAAAATCAGTGGGATTCTTCTACAGTAACAAAGATAACTCAGAGAAGGAAACAAGAAAGCAAAACCATTTACAATTGTTGTTGTAGTTATTGTGTATCATAGAGTGGGAACCAACCCATAGCTGATCCTCCAGCAACCTTTCAGATGCAGTTAATCTCATGGGAGCAGGCTGACTATCCTTCTCCATCAGAACAGCTGGTGGCCTCAAATCACATACCTTCAGGATTGGAGCACAGATTCTTGACACTAAGTCACCTGAACTTTGTCCACCACAGATTGAGATACTTGGGAATGAACCTAACTAGAGACAAAAAAGACCTATACAAAGAAAACTACAGAACATTTCTGTGACACACAATAAAAAAGCCTAAATAAATGGAAAAATTAGCCTTATTCATGGATAGAAAGACTCAATATTGTGAAAATGACAATCCTACCAAAAATAATCTAAATGTTCAATGCAATCCCAATGTTGTAGTTGTTGTGTTAAGTGTCATCGAGTTGTAGGCAACTCATAGCAACCTTATGAATGAAAGATCTGAACACTTATATCACTTTCATCCTTTCTCTATGTTCATAGGGTTTCCAGAGACAAGCTATTTGCGAAGTGAATGCCACTCCTGCTTCCAAGCTTGTTATAATTGTGGAGCTCCACCAAACACTGTCCACTATGAGTAACCGTTATCATATTTGATGTATCAGTGTCACAGTGTTCAGCTTCACAGCAACCACAAGTTACCTCCGTACAGCCAGTGGACAGACCAATACAGACACCAAAGTCATTTTTCAAGGAGATCAAAAGAAAAATTGTCAAGTTTACTTGGAGAGACAAGAGACCTGGAATAAGCAAAGCACTTCTGAAAAACAAAAATTAAGTGGGAGTCTAGTCCTCCCTAAATTAAAATTCTACTACACAGTGATAGCAACCAAACAACATAGTACCAGTATAATGACAGGCACATAGACCTATGGAAAAGAACTGATACCACATATTTATGGTCAACTGATATTCAACAAGAAAATATAACCTATTAAATGGGGAAATGACAAATGGTACTGGCATAACTGGAGTGCTTCTTGCTATAAGCTGAAACAGGGTCCGCATTTCACACCACACACAAAAATCAACTCAAGGTAGATCAGAGACCTGGGAGTAAAACCCCAAACCATAAAGTTCATAAGAGACAAACTGGGATTAAACTTAGACAGCCTAGTGTATCATATAAAGAGACTGATAAATACATTCATAAATGCACACTCTGGAAAGGATAAAATTGATGAATGGGATCTTCTAAAGATTGTATGCATCAAAACCTTTTTCTAACAAAACAAAAATAAAACTTGACTGGGTAAAAACATTTGCAACACCATTTCAGACAAGATTCTCATATCAAATATTTACAGAATCCTATAAGGCCTCTGCAAGAAAAAGATTGATAATACAATTACAAAAATGGGCAAAACACATGGGAAGAATTTTCACTGAGAGAGATATTCAGATGGCCAACAGACACATGAAGAAAACCTCAAAATTACTTGTAATAAAAAGATGCAAATGAAACCACAGTAAGATACCATCTCACTCCAGTAGCAGTGACATAGTTTAACAGGATAGTAAGTAATAAATGTTGGAGAGGATGTGGCAAGATAGGAACTCTTATGCACTCTTGGTGGGATTGTAAAATGATACAACCAGTCTGGAAGGCAGTTTGATACTTCCTCAGAAAGCTGGACATATAAATCCTATATGGCCCAGCTATTCTACTGCTTCGAATCTATCCCAAGAGAATGAGAACTGAGGCACAAATGTTCACCAATGTTCATAGCAGCACTATTCACCATAGCAAGAACATGGAAACAGCTTAAATGCCCAACCACAATAAAATAGATTGAGAAATTAATGTATGTTCATATAATGGAATACTACACAACACACAGGAGCAATGATTTTATAAATCACTAACTAACTTGGGAGGGACTGGAGAGCATTATGCTAAGTGAACTAACTCATTCTCATAAGGACAAATACTGTATGATATTATTTTTGGAGGATGAGTAAGAAGATCCAAGAAGGGGGGAGCTTAATCGTAGGATCATACAATTTGATGGGTGGAGGGAAGGATGGGTAAACAAAAGGGGAAAGATCTGATGTAAAATTAAAACTTTAATTAAAAAAAAATTTTATGTTCCCTAAAGAGACACATCTAAGAAATGAGGGAAAATATAGACTAAAAATCCGAGGGTGTAAAAAACAAACAAACTAAGCAAATGATTATGCAGATGACACAACCCTGCTTGCTAAAACTGAAGAGGACCTGAAACACCTGCTGCAGAGGGTCAAGGACTGCAGCCTACAATATGGATTGAGGCTCAATGTCAAGAAGACAAAGATTCTCACCACTGGACCAATTGGCAACATCAGGATGGATGGTGAAGAGATTGAGATTGTACACAGCTTTAGTTTGCTTGGCTCCACAGTCAACACGCTTGGTACCAGTAGCCAGGAAATTAAAAGGTGCATTGCCATGGGAAAGTCTGCTGTTAGGGACCTCTCCAAAGTACTGAAGAGCAATGGTGTCTCTCTGGAGACTAAGGTGCGTTTGATACAGGCCATGGTCTTCGCAATCACTTGTTATGCATCAGAGAATTGGACAGTGACCAAAGAGGATAGAAGGAGAATTGATGCCTTTGAGCTGTGGTGCTGGAGAAGAGTATTGAGAATACCATGGACTGCTAAGAAAACAAACAGATTTGTCCTGGAAAGGGTTAAACCAGGTGGCTCCTTGGAGGCAAGGATTCTGAGGCTCCGTCTAACATACTTTGGACATGCTGTGAGGAGAGACCGGTCAGGACATCATGCTTGGGAGGGTGGAGGGACGGTGCAGGAGGGGAAGGCCCTCTATGAGGTGGATGGATTCAGTGACTGGGATAATCGGGATGGGAGTGTCAGAGACAGTGCGATTGGCACAGGACAGAGCAGAGTTTAGGGCTGTTGTACATAGGGTCGCTATGAGTCGTAAGCGACTCGATGGCACATAACAACAACAGCAAAGCAAATGGCATGCACAGAAAGCAGGAGTGGCAATCTAATCCCTGTTCAACTAGACTTCAGAATGAAAAATACCATAAAAGATAAAGATAAGGAACATCACTATATAATAATTAAGGGCTTGGTAGATCAAAAATAGATTAAAAAGTGCCTTATTCCTTTTACTTGTAAAGAAATAATCCTTCCTGTTCATATTTTAGAAATTAGGACTGACATCTGTTGCCAGGCTTATACTAGGGGAAAATAAGGAGCAAAAAGACACCTGAACAAGAAGTCTGTGGATACAATCTCTACCACCATCTTGCAGATTAAAGAACAGAGGAGAGGAGAAGTGAAGTTCAAATTTACCCAGGTAAAATGTGACAGAACCAATCTTTGAGTAACAACCTAGCCCTAAAGCCCTTTCAGTGACCGAGAGTGGTCACACTGGCCACCAGGAAGGGGTGCTGGAACCTAAGGGACAAGTCATTGGCAGGTAGAAGGCCTTGCCAAAATATGGGCCACAATCAGGTAAATTTCCAGAAGCAAATTCATGCTCACAACAGTCTGGGATATCTTAGTTCTGGAGAAAAGGCCCTGACTCACAGAGAAGTGTGTCAAGTGAGGGACTTCAGACCTGAGACATTTTTCAATTTGTCCCAAAGTATCTTCTAGTTTACTTCCACCTTCTTCACTTCTCCCTTCTCTACCCATATCAGACCATACCCTCCACACTTCTCCTGGGCATGTCCCAGTTTGTCACTCATGCCTTGTGCCTTCACCTAGAACATCTCCCCCTGGAATTCTATCCCAGACTTTTTCCTTTGCAAACTTACTCTATAGTTAATCTTCAACTCATGTGCATATGTAAGTGAGAACTCTTCAGTTCTACAAAAACAATGCTTCCAAAATACCTTGTATCTGTTTTATAGTACTCAACTTAATGCTCTGAAAGTCCTTGTCCTCTCTCTTTCCCCTGGACTCCAAGCTACTAAGAGAAATAACTGGAATTAATTCTCTCTGGTAAATCTATCAGCTATATTTTCCAGAGAATCTGAAAATTGATGATCTTGCAAAGCCTACAACTATTGATGTAGAAAGCCCTTTTGCTGTACATAGAGAGCCTTACCAGCTGTAGAGATGAGAGCAGGTGCTATTTCCCAGACTCACAGTGCCATCTCCAAAGTCCCACAAGTAAATAACATCTGTGCCAAAGTTGATTTTGCACTCAAAGGTCACAGTGGCATTTACTAGAGCAGAGGAGGTGGATGACAGGTGATTTGCAACAATTTTCTTCTGGATATTAATGGGATGAGACTCAGAGACCACTCTAGTGATCCCATTTGAAGCCTTAACCACCACATGGTACCTGTGAGTTGAAACCCCAGAGGCCAAGAAAATCAGATAGTAAGAGAAAACAAGATCAAAATTAGTGAACTTGTACATTACTCAAAAGAAAATGGCAGGAATATTATGGTACTTAATTTCTAGGAATTTTCACAGCATTTAATAATTTTTATCTTATTAGAGGGGAGAAAGAATAAAAACTTTTAGCAATCAATTTTATTATTTAATTCATGCCTCAAGTGAGTGGGAGAGAATTCATTGCTTGCTTGCTTGCTTGATTGATTGATTGATTGATTGATTGATTTTAAGATGAGGAATTTTCTCAGGTAAAATTGCTGGCTAAGGTGGAATTTGAACTCAGGTTTTTCTGATTTTCTGGTGTATACCCAATTCAGGCTGAAAAGAAGAAATTCCCTCAACACTTTGCCCTTATATTTAAGTTCATTCCCTAGAAGTACTTAGTGTTTCATTACAATATAATCATAGCATCTGACTCATTTGAATGGTAACACAATAACCCTTGGATTAAACTAAACTGCAACTGCCTTGTAATTAGTCACACAACATAATGATCATATTCACAGACCACTGAGGGGTGTGAAATTTCTTTTCAATGCTTCTTGAAGTTGTTGTCACTGGTGGATCTTCTCCAAAGTGCCACTCAAACTCCAAGGGACTGGTTTCTTTGGTAACAGCTACAAAAGTGATGTCTACATCTGTGGCAAATACAGTTCCATTTGTGTAAACAGAAACAGCTGTGAGGAAAGAAATAGAGGCACAAACACTTTAGCATTCATGCAGTACAGGTTGGTTCCTCTGTCTTCCCAATCAGACATGAGTGATGAGTAAAGAACCTCTGGATGGTTGCAACATTGTGTGAAAGTAGTGACATCTGTAGGGTCCTGAGAGGCAATTATGAACTGAGTTCAAAAGTCATCAAAGTAATAGCTCATGAAGAACTATAGCCCTTTTGAAATTTTCTTTATAAGGTGATAGTATGAGGAAACAGATGATTCTATTTGATATTCAACCTTCTATCTTCAAATTGTAGCCTTCATAACTAAGAGTTCTAGCAAAAATCATAGGTCAAAAAGGGTGTTTAAACGTAAACATGGGTCTCAGGTAGAGCTGATAACAGAACACAGTGCTGAATATGGCTGTCACAATCTCAACTGATGGTATGAAGGAGATTTCATGAAATCTAAAGTTAGAAAAATACTTACGCTGCATCTTATACCAAACAGTAACATTGAGCCAGGCTTGGTTATCACCCACTTGCCTTTGAGAAATGTAGGATGCATAATGTGAAGAAATAGGTAGAAAATTATGTATAAAAATAGTACCTAAAAGAAAGAAAAAAATAATCTTAAAAATTAATTTGTATTAATTATACTGTTGTTGTTATGTATTATAGCATTGTAATTGACACAAAATTGACCCTCCAGTGGGTTTTCAGAGGCAGTAAATCTCATGGGAGAAGAATGTCCATCTTTCTCACTTGCAGCAGTTGATGGATATGAACTGCCTGCCTTTGGGTTGGCAAGATAATTCCTCACTACTGTGCCACAAGAATTCAACAAACACATGGACAATATTTTATTGAAAACAAATCCTTTCTTTGAATTTGATAATTCAAATGAGGTATTTTGAAACTAATTTAGAAAAACATGAAATTTTCTCAAGTTTTCTCACAAAATTACTTAAAATGTTCTTTAAGATTCTTTCCATCTCCTTTGAGGATTCTCTACATAAGTAAATATCTTAATAACTTATAAATGAGTTCATTTGCTAGATAATTTTGTTTTAAAATATGTATTCAGTGTTCTCAAAAAATTAAAGGATAAACCTCAGGCTATTAAATCCTCAGATTTTATACAAAAGTATATACAAATAAAAAACTTTCTAAAGAGATCTAAACAATATTCCTACAAGAAATTTAAAAAGATTCATATGCAGAGTGGATTATATTTGGGGTGGGGCGCTGGGGAGTGTGCGGGGGGTGGAGGAGATTATGTACCAATGAAGGAGTTTGTCTTTTGCTTTTCAAGGAGAGGAGCGAATGGAGGTTGGGGTGGGGTGGGAGAAAAGTGCAACAATGAATTAATGGAATTCCAAAATCTCTGTAGATGTTCATTGAAATAAAAAAAATTTAAAAGAAAAAAGAAAAAATCATATAAATGGAAAAATATAGCATGCTTAATTAGGTAGTCTTCTGGGTAAGAGGTTGTTGCCAAATCAAAAGCAGGCAGTTCACCAAGACCACTCACACACTCATCTCACCTTGAGACATGCCACTGCAAGAGTTTCATTCCTCCATAAAAGTACTAACCCTGAGCTCGTCTCCCAGCAAAAGCAGAAATAACTCCAGCACCCACTGAGATCTATCTCATGCTCATCCCGCTTTAGCCCAGTGGGAACACAAACACACAGGGTCCAGACAAAACATCACCCTCACCTATAACATTATCCTGCTGTTCTACCTGTTCACCTCAGCTGGAGGGCTCCAGCATCCGTAGCCACAGGAATATTGTCTAGGAGCAGAAGATGAGAGACACAGACCTTTCCCCAGAACAAACAGAACATGAGAAAAGGTGAGAAACTTGGCCATGCCACTCCTCTGTTCAAAGAGGACAGTAGACTTTGGAGAGAGGGTAGTAACCAGGTGTGAGAATCTCTCACAAAGCCAGGATATTGAAGAGCTAGAAAAGGAACTCTCTGTAATCTCTCTGGAGAAAAACTTCTTCAGGTGGAGAAGGCAGCCTCACCACTCTACAGTACAAGAAGCAAAACAGACCTCAGGAAAGGGGGATACAATCAGCTCCACAGAAAATAAATGGTCTGCTGGTAGACCAATTGTTCCCACCTCTGCCTCTAATATAAAACACTTCAAGCTTGCAACTAATTTATAGTCTCATAAAGGTAAGTAACTATAACCAAATTACACAGATATAAGAGAAACAGGAGAACACACATTTGAAAAAAAAAAAATCATAAAATGTCAGGAAAGCAGCAGGCAACTTCAAACATTGTGAAAAAACAAAAGAAGCCTTCCCCTAAAAAAAAGTAGAACATACCAAAGTGTAATGAATACTCCAGAAATAGAAAAGTAGACAAAAATATATTGACCTCAAATTATATGAAGAACAACTGAAAAAAGTACAAATTATAGAAGAAAGATTGGAAGTCACAAATAAAGCAAATGTCCCAGAAACCAAGAGAGAGAAAGAAGGAAGATGCTGAAATGGAGTTACATGAACAGCTACAGAAGAAGGTGCACCACAACAAGATAAAGGTAAATAATCCAATTGAAAAATGGGCACGGGATATGCACATGAAGAAAAGTTCAAAGTCCCTAGCTTTAAGAGAAATGCAAATCAAAACAACTATGAGATATCATCTCACCCCAGTAATAATTTTTAACAAAATTTAACAGAAACAAAATTTAACAGCAAAATTTAACAGAACAGCAAGCAACAAATGCTGGCGAGGTTGTGGAGAGACTGGAACCCTTATTCACTGTTGGTGGGAGTGTAAAATGGTGCAACC